CCACACACAGCCACACACCGACACCACGGCGGACGTTCGCCTACTAGCTTACCCCGGTAGCTGATAGCCTGCCTGAACGCGCGACGCGTTCAATCGATACGGCCCGACGTGCTACAGAAAGAGATGAGTGCACGTCGCACACGAAGGCTTATCGCCGCGCCTCGCACACGAAAATACCAGCTGATGCTCGCTTTCGATTGTCAGCCATAGGTGGCGCTTGACGTAAACACATACGTGACTTGTCACTTGTCACTTGTTGCTGTCACAGAGTGCAGTTCTGTCAAAACATCGGATTAAGAGTAAAGTTTTCGTTAAAGAGTTTTTATTTAAAGAAATGTCGTACAAAACTATCATAAGAAGCTTTCGGACGCTAAGCTATGTGGGAAGCTATAAGAAAATACGAAGCCGACCATACAAGTAAGTTTATTTTCATGTTATACTCATAATTCTGTGTTTACAATATCGTATTACAGTTTCTTTTTACTTGGTTAAAAAGGTTAAATATTAACATAAACCATCTATAATAGCATTTCCACACTAGTTTTAAATAATTCTTACAAGGAAATAACTTTTAAAACCATATAGACATTATCAGATTAAGATAAACTATTGACACACTTATATCGAACTGTTTTTATCAGTCTTGTTAAAAACGCAATGTAATTAAAAAGTTATTGCCCCACATTAAACCAGTTTCAAGTAAATGCATCTCTTAACATTACCAGAATTTTGATCAAATTGAACCACTTGTAGCAAGCAAAAATTTAAATGTTTGTCACCATAACACGAAACCTAATAATCCACTAATTCTATTAATTCTCTTCTAACATAATTGTGTGATTAAATTGGAATGAAATGTGACTTCAGGTTTTACTATGCAGCGATAGTAGGCACTGGTATAATTGCATACAACCAGTTGAAGAACAACAAAGCTGAGATGAAAGAGATTATGCAGCTAAAGAACTACATGGCTGAGCCCATCACACCTCTCTCACAGTTGGAACAGAACCCAGATGACATGAAAACACAAATGGAGTTACTAATAATGAGGATACAAGCAGAGTTCTGTAGAGCGCTGGAAAAAGAAGAAGACCAGGTAAGGTATAGGCAAGTGGTAGCCTAACTTATTACTCTAAAGGTTGTCATGTCTTTGTTTTGAGTTATTTATGTAAAAATACTATTGCTTTAAAATTTTGGTTTTGGAAAACATTATATTATTTTGGATATTTTGGGCTTTGAAAGTAAGAGGAGTGCCTGGGAAATACCTGCAGCTTATTCAGGCCATGTACTGGCAAGCCAGTACATACGTCCGGTCCGC